GCATATAGAATGGATTATTATTACTCCTTATAACAAAATCATTTCACTTCATGTAAGAAAATAATTTGCTATTGCATCACTGATTGCATGTTGTTTCTTTATTAATAATGTTCATTGAGTAGGGGCGGGGGTACCGCTCAGTGGTAGAGCACATGCTTAGCCTATAGGAGGCTTTAGATTCAATTCTCAGACCTCCTAACCAAATGCAGTAGTGAGAGTGATAACATGTGACTCCTGGACAAATAAAGCAAATATAAGTCTTGCCAAGTTCTCATTAACTCTATAATGTAAAATTATAAGCAAATGCTCATTCACAGTTTTCTCTCTTTTGTGCTTTCTTAGTATCTCATTTACTTATTGTTTAGTTTTTGGTGCTGGAGATTGAACCTGGGGACTTGCCCATACTAAGCACTTCCTCCACCAATTAACACCCCTAACCTCATTTGTTTATTTAATTTGACATTTATCACTCAATTATTTATACTGTAGGACTTAGTATTTGTCTAACTCCCTCATTAGATTGTGAATTTGGGGGGGATATTTTGCTTACAACAAAATATTGGTTTTAAATCGAACCAAGTGAGGTAGCACATACTCATAATACCAGCTACTTACCAGGCTGAGGCATGAGAATCAAAAATTCAAGGCCAGCATGGGCAACTTAATAAAGCCATCTCAAAATAAAACTATTTTTTAAAAGGGCTGGGAGTGTAGGTTAGTGGTACAGCACTTGTTAGAGGCCTGGGTTCAATCCCTAGGACTGCTAAAGGTGGGAGGGGAAGGAATTGAGTTTGTAAAAAAATGAATAGATGGAGCTTTTGTATCTTATCCAATTATACATTAAAGAGGTCTAAAGAGATACAATCTTTTCCCAAGCACGTTCCAAAAAAAGCACAAAGCTAACCATGCATTCAAAACCAAAGTGTTTTATTTCACTTCTATTCACCCTCCTTGCTGGAATCTTTAGAAAATGCAAACAGATTAAAAGATAATTTTTCAACTTCTTTTAATAGTTCTGTACATTTAAATTGGGACGAATCCATTTCGATAGCTTCTGAAGCCAAAAATACTTTATATACTGAAATCAAAACCCAGCCCTAGTAACTTAATTCTAAAATTTGCCATTTTTAGTAATACTTCCTGATACACAATGTGTTATTGTAGAAATAATTACTGCAATATGCCAACTAATTTCATAACAACTATTGAAAACTGTCGTAATTACAAGATGAAATGCAATGCTATTTTTCCCTTTATAACAAAGAGTTACATGTTACTACTGGAAATCTTTACTTTCTTCCTTGAAATGCCAGAAATTCTTCTGTAAAATAAACACATCTTGTCAAGACTCTCTGGAACTAGTATAATTACCAGAGGCAATCCCTGTGTAAGATCAAAGAAGCAAAACAATAATAGGCAACGTGTGACCTCTACCATGTCACCAGAGACCAATTTTTCAACAGGGAAAAGAGTCAATAATCCAGAACAGAAAACATTAAATAACGAGAAATGCTTCCAAAGTGTGGCTCACCACATCCATCAAGGCAGCCACAGAGAGAATTTAGTCTCTATGGTTTCAGAGAACAAACTTCTGGGGATTTATCACAACAATCATTAAAATCTGCATAAAACACCAGAGGCAAAAACTAATTTCTCAAATGCAGAGTGCAATTTCAAAAGATACTACTACAATAATTTTCTGAATTTCAACTGATATTTTAGTGGAAAAGGCATAGAAAACCATACATTTTTCCCATAACACACCTAATTTCTCTATCCACATGCAATTTTCCCATGATTGTTTGGAAAGTGGCTAGTATTAACCAGATAAGCATAATTAGTAGTAATGCTTCAACCACTTTTACAGGGTTTTTTTGGGTTTGTACTGTGTTTGCTTTTGGTGGATCGCTAAATCCGAAACAGTCCCATTTGTAATGCACTTGGATGACTAAGAGTGCTGGGCTGGGGTTGTTGTAGCTCAGTGGCAGAGCGCTTGCCTCACTTGTGGAAGGCATTGGGTTCGATCCTCAGAACCACATACAAATAAAATAAAGGTGTTGTGTTCATCTACAACTAAAAAATATATATATTTAAAAAGAAGAATTATAAGAGTGCAAAGAGGGATAAGTTCAGGAATGACAATCAGTAATGACAGTAAAAGAGAAGTACATTTAAAATTGACTTTTAAAAAGCACTGCACATCCAATTGTGCTTTAGAATCGCAAAATTCACCAATTTTTCTAGGGTACTACTGCCCCACAGCTATCTTCTTTCAAACCAGATGAGTTGGGAGCCTTACAAATTGTATCTAAATTGTTTAACTTGTGAAACACACGATCTGCTGTAATTTAAAAGAAAAAGCACTGGAAATTCAAAGCAACTATGAACAGTATTTTCTTATCAGGATTGGTTCCTAGTACCCCCTTCATCTTTCCATTCTGTCTTCTGCCTGTCTGTCCATCTTTTTATCTTATTAACATTGCTAATTGTATTTGTCAGTTTTGCCACAATTTCAATGCTACTTAAAACAGCTTTGGGTTTTCTCTAGGCAATTATCAGTCACTACACTTAGGTTTCTAAATTAGTTGTTGAAAGGTGCTTTAATCTTGAGAAAATAACACACAGTGTGCTAAGCTTCACATTTATGTGTATGTTCCTTTCATGGAAGTATTTATTTTAAAAGAATTGAAAACAATCACATACATTATTAATAGATACATTAATTGTAACTGTGATATTAATTTATAAATTAGAAAATGTTTAACAAAGCCTATATAGTATGCTCTTCATCATTTTATCTTTTTTCTATACTATACATTTTGGCATATATACTTTCTATATATGTATATATACATATATTTAATGTATAAATTGTATATCAAAATATTGCCAAATCCCTCCATTAGTCTCCTTTCACTACTCATTTGCCAGGTGGCTAATACCTTTCAAAGCTATTCACAATCATATAAGTGGTCTCCTGAGGTCATGGGCTGTGACAAACAGAACTTTCACAACTTGTAGATTTTTCCCCCCTTCTCTATTTCCTTCCAAAGAGAAAAATTCTGTTATTATATTGCTTTTTACTTCCCATGGTGCTGAGATTGAACTCAGGGCCTCCCATATGCTGCTGGGCGAGTGCTCTACCACTGAGCTCCATCCCCAGCCCTATCGTACTTTACTTATTCGCTATTCTTGACTCTGACATTGATTTTCTTCTACAAAATGTATGAGAAACACATTTAGTGAGAAACACAGCTTAAGGTTAGTCATCCACTGATACCCCCCATATATCAATTATCCACAAATGAATTTAAAAATTCATAATCCATAAGGTGGGGGGTAGGTAGTTCAGTGGTAGAGCACTTTCCTAGCATGGGTTCAATCCCCAGAACCACTGAAGAAAAATAAAAAAAGATCTGTAAGCCAGAAACATTACACTTCGTGTGCCATTTATTTCCTTTATAAATTAAATTCAAAAATACCTTTTTAGAGAGTTAACACATTTTGAAATTTTTAAGGTTTAATAATACATTGTGTATGGGTAAGATCAAAAGTAGGTAGAATTATTTTTAAATTAGTGTAAACTCATTTGTTACTCTCACCCCCCACTTTCTGCTCCTAGGAAAGAAAAAAGTGATATTTCAACAGTGCAGAATTCTTCACTGAGACCAAAACATTAAAATGATAAATATTTTGGAAAGTAAAGTACACTTCAAACCCACACTGTTCTTTCGGTCCTATATTGACTCTTACAGTCATTGCCAACATTTGGTAAAGATTATCCTTCCATTAGATAAAAGTGAGCATTCCTTAGATAAATCAGGAGTTTTTGCCATGAGACTCATAAAACCTTTTCACAACACAGATTTTCAAGAGAATCCTTTAAGGTTTTAGGAGGCTGCTCCTTTTACTAAGTAACAAAATACACCCCATGGTGTCTCACTGACCCCACTCAGCTGTCCTTTGACCTCCTCAATTGTTGGAGCCTAACTCCAGGGCCCACAGAATTTGCCTCCCATATCAAAAAGGCTAATGTTGCTTCCTCCCAGCACCTGGTGAAACAAAATGCAACAGTTCTCTCCTCTCTCTTGCCTCCTCCTTTCCCTCTCTGACCATTTTCCAGATGTTCCAGACCCAAATGTTAAGCTAACACTAGGTTTCAGTATCTGCGTGGTCACCATGAAGGAACAAACAGGGACCAGGCTGAAGTGGCAATGACCCTCTTGTTCTTTCTGGCCTCAAAAGGATACAGCAGGTCATAAAAGAGGAAAAGATCTTTGGCCTCTCTTGGAAATGCCAGGCTATTTAAGCACATTGTAACTTCCAAAAGGAGAGACACAGTCTTGGATTATGTCCCTTAAGATAGAGAAGAGTTACCTAAAAGAATAACCCTGAATTCTCAGTCCCAAGCAAGTTTTTGATTTTTGTTGATGTAGAAGGAGGGAAAAAAAGAAAAAAAAAGCAGTGTCACTTTTTTCCTTTGCTAAACTAAAAGTCTTATGTAATTCCATATACATCATAATTAGAAAATATACAGATATTTCTCCTTCCTAAATTCCAGTAAAAAATTCTTACAGAATCTTGATAACATACATCTCAGGATAGTGTTATATGAGACAGATATTAAGTATATGTAGTTACTAGGAAGTTTGGGTTTTTCTGTAGAAGCCCAATCTAGAAATTTCTCATTAGAAAATTTGAAATATAAAATCACAACAAAGGGGAAATCAAAAGCTGAATTCTTATTTTCTTAGTTTAGGTATACATGAAATATAGAGGTTGTTGTAGGGGGAAAAACATGGCTACGTTTTGTTGTGGGAGTAGAAAGGCAGAGGAGGAGAAAGGCAAACACAGTGGGTGGGGGGAGTAGCAGTTCATAGAAATATCTGCTTAACCAGTTTAAGGACCAAACACATTAGCTTTATTTAAATTCTAAATATTCCTTCCTAAAACAAATTTGATCTTGAAAAATTGATGGGACATAATTAAGTGTACAATACCTTGGTTTGTTTATTAACATTTTTGAATCATGTTCATGATTAAGTTGGACAGTCAACACTTCCAGGGAGCTTGTTGCCTAGAATATAACTTGCTTAGGGCTTTTTTTAACCTGCAAAAATATAAAAACAAAATATATATGTACATATACATACAAACAGTTAATTTCCAAATGCTTTATATTCTATAATTATCTATAATTCCACAAAAATAACAATTAGAAATGAATAAGTATCAAAGTCTTATACAACTCCATATACATCACAACTGGCAAATTTACAGATATTCCTTCTTCCTAAATACTCACCAAATAATCCCTCCTGATTATATGTACTTGAAAATATTTTCTGTTGTTTGTAAGATTCTGCCCCCCACTGAACATAAGTTGAATAAGTCTATCTATTTTGTATTTTTGACAAACATTACCATAATTGTAGAATGCCCACAGAATATTTTTATTTTAGGAATGAAATTAGTATAAGGCAATTTTCTTATTCTAAGGCGTTTTGAGTGTTTTATAATCCCTGACATCTGGTCAAAATTAATCTACTCAACTGTCAAAAATGTGAAAACATGGGCTGGGGCTGGGGCTCAGTGGTAGAGCGCTCGCCTAGCATGCATGAGGCACTGGGTTCGATCCTCAGCACCACCTAAAAATAAAATAAAGATATTGTGTCCACCTAAAACTAAAAAATAAATTTAAAAAAGTGAAACATAACATCAATAGAAATTATTTTTCTTTTTGTAATTAATGGTTTAATTTCCAAGAAGAAAGTCTGCAAGAAGAAAAAGACCTACTGTTTCCTACTCTCTTGAGCATTGTTCTTAGAAGATGTTAATTATAATTACATATAGTTGGTTGAAAACTAGTGTGCCTATTATTCTCTTCACTAAATAGATTATGGTCCATATAAACTATTGCATGGAAAATTTGGAAATATAAGAATGAAGTGAAATAAAACTATCTCATTGATTTTTATGTATATTTTAGAAGTATTTCTAGTCCTTTGTTTCTGTGTCTAAAAAGAAAACAAAAGATTTTTTAAGAATGTACTAATTTTAATGTGAATATTTATAGCACTAAAATATTTAAAGAACTGTTCCCTTATGTTTTCTAAAGAAATGGTATTTGTTTTACTTTCTGATACGCCAACTTGAGAGAAAAGAACCACTAAAAATTCTGGATTAAAAACCTTTATCTTACCTCTCTTACTGTCAGAAGGATGTCTTCACGCAAAAGAATGATTAAAAATGCAGAACCTAGATTTTCAAATTCACATACTTCCCACCCACACACAAGTAGACATCTTTTTTGAGTCAGGAGGAGCCTTGCTACCTACAGGCGAACCCAATATTACCCCATATGGTCAACAAGGTCAAACTGCATTACTGCTAGTGAAAACTATATGACTCCACAAGGACCTTAATGGTTTTTTTTTAAAGGTCAGTAATCCAATTCCAATAGCTTTGGAGTCTAAAATTGCTAATTTTTGGCCACGTGCTGCACACTTCACCTGCAAGTAATGACATTTTTGTATTTTCTTCTAATTACACTCAAAGCTAAGACCTTTGGCCCTCGGCCACAGACCCCTATTCAGGCTGCACACATTCTCTTAAACGACCTGATCCTTTGTTGTCACTCTTACTCTTTCATCTATTATTTACACCCATAGAGAAGGAAGATACTCTACCATTTGTATAGCTTAAAGCTTCTAATCATCTTAATTTCTTTGCCTTTCAACCTATGGTCTTTTTCATGGACAATGCCAAAAGTTTGACAAAATCATTTTTTTTCCCAATTACATAGTCCTCTTTCCCCTTTTTTTATGTCCCAACTAACATCCTTTTCTGTTCCTTGTCATACACAGAAGGGACTTTGTATCAGCCAGGATTTACAAATTTTGACCTTCACCAACAAAATGAATGCAACACAAATCTCCAATTTGTTCTGATCAATAACACTTATATTTCTTTCTCTGATCAAAGAGTCCATTAAGTGAAATCAGAGGTTACTTGAAATAATTTAAAATCTGGCTCCTGCCTCCTTTAAGCATAAGCATAGAATTTTCAGGATTCCCTTACAAAAATAACAAAAGTCATTCAGAAAAGAGCAAAGATTTTAGTGAAATGACCAAAACTTTTCAAACATATTACTATCTACAATTATTGTTGTTTGCAACGCAGAAAATAAAACAAAAAAACCTAAAAGTTCAATTTTAATCTAATTTTAAAATATTTTCAAAGACTACTAACCCTTCACACAGCAAAATCTTCATACAAAACATTCTCTATTATTATTGTTATTTCCCAACACTTTTCCCAGACTTAAAAAAAAAAATCCGAACACATTTTACAAATCTGAAGTACAGAATCGTTTACCATGATGCAGATGTCCTCCTCAGATCACGATAGCCACCAAAAGATTCTGACTCCCAAGATGTTTATAAAATGACATCTGATCCATCTTTGCTCTCTTCCTCTATTGCTCAGCTTACTCTTGATTTCTAACAGTGTTTCCTTGTTGTCTGTCCTCTCTGCAGACCCTGAAACCCCTTGTCTTTTCTTATTTTCACCATTTGCTTCAACCAGCAGTTCACTGGAGACCCATCCATCTTGTAATGCCTAAAGTGACAGATGCTCTCAGGAACGACCACACTGCTGAGTGAACAAAAGATAACATCACCTCCAGGAACTCCAGAGAGAAATACAACTGCAACCTTAAGACAGGAGCTGACTTGACAGACATTGGACCATAAACCTCTTCTAAGCGAGAAAGAAAACAATTGCCACACACACAAAAAAAATCTGACACAATCAAAGGCAGAAAAGAGTGATTATTTGTGGATTGCCTTTTCACTCTGTAACTCACTTTCCCCCCCCTCAATGCTTTTATATTGGGGCAATTCACTTGCCAAGAGACAAGAAAAGTTCTTGGGAAAAGAAGCCTCTCTTAAGTATCTCTTCTTTTATTCAACAATATCCAAAGTGAAATTCATTCACATGTGTTTCAGGAAATCTAAGACTTGGATTCGGCATTCTTAAACCTGACCCTTCTCGTTTGCATAAAGCAATATCTGGACTTAGAAATGCTGACTCAATGCTACTGCTATGAAAGACACATGCATGCTTTGCAAATTAAAAACACATTAGAAATTAAAAAGCAATGTGTGGCACAATGTCAACAATATGTGCAGCTCATTAAAAAAACAAAAACAAAAAAACTCACTATTCACCATTCATTCATCAGACAACCTCCAACTTGGGTTAAAAAGACAGTTAACAAGAGGATTCTGGGAAGGACAGATCTCTCTTCTAACAAAGGGAAGGTCATATGAACATCTCCCAGTCACAAACTAATGACAGGGAAGCTGTAGATGCAGGGGACTCTGCCTCATGCCATCTAGGGCTTTGGGTTTTGTTGTTTACAGCATCTTATTTAAAATTATCATATAGCAGTAGAAAATAAATAGAACTCTAATATTTAGATATTGAAAAGAAAAAAATTCTGTAGAACACAAAAGCAAAAACCAAGCTGGAGGTCAATTAAAAACATTGTGTGATCAATGTCAATTATGGAGATTAACAATCTTTTTTTTTTTTTTACAATAGACATCGAGTGACACAGAAGAAAAGCTCTGTTGCAGGGAAATATGTTATCATTCTTTAAAAGGACACACAATGCAAATATATATGTATGTTATATTCCAAGAGCCGAAATGCTCAAGAAAAGTTCCATCAATAATATTTCTAAGAAGAAATATGAACATTTACGGTGGCACTTGTTTAGTAAAAATATTTTAATTTTTCTTTAAAAGTTTTTCCTTGGAATCAATGACTTCTTCCCCCCATCCCCCCCCCTTTAAAAATATATACATATATGTAAAATTTAAAAGACATTTTATCTACTAATTATTTGGGGTGGGTAAAATAAAATTTTCCAACTTGATAAGTCAGCATATCTCTTATTTAAACATTTTTATGTCTCTCCTAGTTCCTCCAACACTTCAGTGTATCTCTACAAATAACACAGTACAATATTTCACAATCTCATAATTTTCCAGTTTTTAAAATTCGCATTTATTTTGTACACATAGAATGTATATGAAAAATAAAATGATGTGTACAATTATATAACTCAATGGAAAAGGTTAACCTTATAGAATGTTCATTTCTTTAAAAAAGAAAATTGTTCTTGATATGGACTTGATCTTTAACTAGAAGACTTCGTTTGAACACAAAAACCTAAAATAATGGGTCAAAACTTGATTTCAAAAGTATCACATTTTTCAACATTCTCAAACTTTGGCATTAATACCAAGAGAGAGACATGACCTTGAAATGACAGCTCCATTGCAGAAGGCTCAAAAAAAAAAAAAACAATTAAATTATTTACTTTTAAACACAATAGGATCAATATGCATGCAGGAAAAGTATACCCCTGTGGAAAGTTCTTATTGCCTGACTGATCAAAAACAAAACAAAACTTTTCTTTTTTAAGGGCCCTTTCCAGATCACAGTCAGTGCCAGAAATCCACACAGGAAAAAAATCCATCAAAATGAAGCCCTAAAAGGGTTTACCCTTCACCATCCTATTTGCACTTCAAAACCCTGTTAGTCCTTCAGTTAAACCCTAGGGCTGAACCATTTCAATAATAAGAGAGGTGGCCAGCAGTGATTTATCTCCCATTTGGCTTCTGGACAGAGCTATAATGTCTAGGAAGCTTCCCTTCCCTGACTTAAACCCTCCCCCACGCCTCTACCTTGCGTTGTGCAGCCTGGGATCTGCAATACCTTACAATTAGAATCAAGAACTGTCTGTAACTCAAGATTTGGGCACATTTTCTTGGCAATAATTTCACAAAATAGAATGTTTCTAAGTAATCTGAGCATCACAAATATCAGGTTAAACTGTAGGTTCTTTTTTGTTATAAGTTGAGGCAGAAAAGAAACTTCATAATTGTAGCTTCTGTCTTCTCACATATGTTAATTGTTATCAGAACTTTTTAAACTTTTCCCCGTTTACACCTTGATATCCTTTGTTTGAACCACATTAGCCAACTTCCTGCAGTGTGACATTCATCTAAATTTAAAACCTTGCTTGCATTGTAAAATGTT